TTCAAATTCAAAAGCTTCCCTTTAGGTTTTCTTTATTCCTGTTTTGAAAAAATTGGTTGCGGACTTCCCTGCTAAATTCCTATTTCGAAATTAGGGTCACATGAACCCTTTCTTTCTATTTCACTGTCACCAGTCTCTGACCCTAATTATCCCATGCCAGGCCATTACATTAGTCTCTCATCCATTATATAAGACCTCTGGTTTTTTTCTGCTTACTTTATCTTAGCAAGCTGTTGCCAGATTTCCTTGGAATCCTCACTGGCTTCCTGTGTCTAAGTAGTGGTTTTTAAAGTATGGTCTGTGGAACCCTAGAACCCAAGGATCCCCCTGATCTGTTAGGTTAAAACTATTTTCACAATAAACTTGCCCTTTTTAAAAAAAAAACTGTATGGACTTTGGCACTGGTGATGGAAAAGCAATTATGAGTAGACCCACTGAGGCAGTAGTAGTAAGATCGAGGAGGTGGCTCCAAACTATCAATAGTCATTGCATTCTCCTCCGCCACACACAGGAGGGGCAAACAGTTTTCAGAAAATCCTGGAGAACTCAGTGAAAGTCCTTAATTTTATTGACTCTCAACCCTAGAGTTCACATCTTTTTAACATTCTGTCTGATGACATTGAGAAGCACCCATGAGCTGCATACTGAAGTATGACAGCTATCACAACAGAAAGCATTTTGTGCAAATGGCTGAACTTGCCTCTTGTTTTCATGGAACACCGCTTTTACTTTGAAACAACAACTGAAAGACTATAGTTCTTTGGTTTTGGCTATTTGGCAGACATTTTCTGGAAAAAGAAAGACATAAAGCTCTCATTTAAGGAGAAAAAGCCAACAGTATTTATTGCTAATGATAAAATTCAAGACAAAAAATGCTTGATAGCTTCCCAGTAAAGACTTCTGTGGTAAGGTCAAGACTTTTCTGAAGATTAATGAATACGATTTTTTGATATTACATAATGAAAAGTGCCATAATTTGGAAAATCTGCAAAACTAACCCAGTGTTTTGGAAATGATCAGTGTATGATGTTAAAAACTCATGCATATGGGTAAAAAAAATCCATTCAAAGATAAGGTACACCAATGATTTTTAATGTAACAGAATATGAAAAGTTCATTGCTGTGGTGTCAGATTCCACATTTTACTCACTTTTACGAAGTATCCTCTTGTCAGGCTTTGGTATAGTATTAAAAAAGATGATCCACAGTTATCTAAAAATGCTATTAAAATACCCTTCCCTTCCAACTGCATGTCTGTGTGAGCCCAGAGTTTCTCCATATACTTCAACCAAACAACATGAAGCAATAGATGCAATGCTGAAACAAATATAAGAACCCAGTCATCTTCTATTCAGCCAGACTTCAAAAAAGAGATTTCCAAAACTTAAAACAGCATCACTCCTCTCACTTATTTTTGTTTGTTTGTTTTGGATAATAGTTACATTTCATTAAAAATATGTTATGTGTATTAATATGCAGTAGGTTTCTTACCATTAAATAACTATTTTTAAAAAATTTCTCAGTTTTAATTTCTAATATGGTAAATATTGATAAATATGGCCCATACAAATAAAAAGTCTTTGAAGTTGTCAATAATTTTAAGAGTTTAAAGGGACCCTAAGATCAAAAGAAATTTGAGAATTACTAGTCCCCACATGATAATAGCCAGTCTTAGAGAAGTGCTTTCCAAAGGGATCCAGTGAGTAACTTCTGATGCTTTTTTTTTTTTTTTAAGATTTTATTTATTTATTTGAGAGAGAGCAGGAGAAAAAGCATGGGCAGGGGGGTGGGGTAGAGAGAGACGGAGGAGCAGGCTCCTCACTGAGCAGGGAGCTGTCGCAGGACTCAATCCCAGAACCCTGGAATCATGACCTGAGCTGAAGGCAGACGCTTAACCGACTGAGCCACCCAGGCGCCCACCTCTGATGCTTTTTAATGTTTCTAAAATTATTCAGTATTTGTAGTAAAGCCAGCATCCAATGCCCTTAGGAGCTTTATAGGACTGGGACAATGGAAAGCTAAATTTTTTTTTCCAGTTTTGCTATTAAGATTCTTATTTGTAATTCTGTTATCCTTTTCTTTAATAAATTTTAGACACTAAATGTAATTGGAAGTCAAAAGTTCGAAGTATGTTACTAGAGCTGAGAGGGAGAGAGAGAGAGAGATTGATATTGATTGATTGATTGATTGACTGATTGAGGGGTAGTATTGGTAAGATGAGCCTGTCCTGTGGTAATATAATATAATCTTAGTATATAGGCTTTACAAGTGTACTGTTAAATCTTGACGTAAACATGGAAACAAGGACATGATAGAATGAATGAGTCAAATCTATAGGTTATTTTAGAATCTTATTTTATCTTGTTATTTAAAATGCCTTTTAAACCTTAATCCACCAGAAGTGCTTAAAAGAACCCCCCAAAATCACTTATTCTAACTTCTCTCATGTTTTCTTCCTTGGTATACATTCATACAAAGTGATCAAAAAGTGGGTATTAGATAATAAATGTGAAACTGTAAAATTTATAACATGGCTAACCAATCTCATCTTTTAGACAGAATATTTTTTTATTTATTTTTTAAATACAGTGGTATTGCTCCCTACTTCATTCTACCTTTAGCACTGGGGAGGAATAGTTTGGGGTCCCAAAATGCTGTGTGAGACACTGTCTTGTTTCACAATACCACAAAGAAACCAACAACAAAGCCCAGGTTGAAGGAAGGGAGAACATGAGACAGTGAGACTTTAGGAGAATTACTTAGGATGACACAGGGAAGGGAATTTAGGCATTCTTAAATTCAGTGTTGATACAGATTTCTGTTTGGTCAGGAAACCCGAGTTATGCTATAAATATAGTATCCTGTGTTCTAATTTTATTGGACAGAGCCTATCAGTGTCTTCTTGCTTAGTATAGATCCTAAGATTACTGTTCAAATTAAATTACAGTGGGCAGCTTAGGTCACCCATGGCTAACTTACGTAAGCAGGTTAGTCATTTGAATGAAAACTTGTCTAGGCCACAAAACCACCACATTTCCACATAAAGTAGGTGCATCCCTCTCTGTTGAAGTGGAGTTGGTATTTGACTCTAAAAATAGGCCTGCATTGTGGTAAAAATCGAACCCATTTGTTTGTCCAAATCATGTGAAGAAAATCAGCTTTTAAGTACAGGCAAGAATCTTCTATATGTGTCAGAAAGGATTAAGAGTCACCTCGTTTCAAGCTTTTTGTGATAATTTCAGGACATTTTGAAGTCTAAAGAAAACTTTAATTTTAGGTGCTTTTTTTTTTTTTTAAAGATTTTTTTTTTATTTATTTGACAGAGAGAGACACAGCGAGAGAGGGAACACAAGCAGCGGGAGGGGGAGAGGGAGAAGCAGGCTTCCCGCCGAGCAGGGAGCTCTATGCGGGACTCGATCCCAGGCCCCTGGGACCATGACCTGAGCTGAAGGCAGACGCTTAACGACTGAGCCACCCAGGCGCCCCTTTAGGTGCTCTTTTAGAATACAAGGGGAGACTTGAGGGTAGGGAAGAGAGTTTGTGGACTGGAGAAGCTATAGATGTACTTCTGTGCACAGTGCAGAGGAGACAGACCCAGAACAATGAGGGGGGATAAAGGAAAGCAGTGAACTAAGAATTAGTAGCATGTCCAGCCAAGCCCCAGTAACATGGGTTCTGTGACTGAGTTATTTGTAGGGTAGTTGATAAGCTCCCCTAAATATGCAGAGCAACAAGTTTAGATAGATTTTTAGAGAGCAAAGGAAGTTAAGCCAGGAGGAGCAATGAAAATAACAAGGCGATGCAAAAGGAGAGACCTACACCTAAGTGCCCTAGTTACGGACTTGTTTGTTTCTGACAGAATTCCAGCTATCCCTTTGCTTGTTTGGGTGATTATCATATAAAATATCTAGGACATTATTTGTATTTCCTCAGAGCCAGTAGCAGCAATGCCTATCGTCCTGTGATAAAGAGTCTTGTAGAAAGTAATAGTAACGAAAACACTCATGTAATAGATAAAATGTGCTTATTTATGATTTACAACTCTCCTGCCCTCATCATAGGTGTTTGTTTTCTAATTTCTCCCGTTTGAGATGCTCCTCTAGCATAATAACTACATTGTAATAAATAATGTCTTTAAAATCATCCCTTCAGTATATTAGGAATGAGTCCTTCGTGGCTAAAGAACTTTTAATATTCAACTGTCATAAAAGCCTTCTTTAGCAGATCTAATGTGTAGTTTTGATTAAGATGTGTTGCAAGTTTTATAGCAGCCTAAATGAGTAAACAGTTCATATCAATAAAATTTAAAGTAACAAAGTAAGAGTAACCACTTGGTATTTAATAGGGAAATGAGACATTTGAGAAGAGTCAGACATTTAGTTCTGATGTGTACCTCCACCTCTAAGAGACCTGATGGTAATATATTTAGATCTTGCCTTGAGGAAGTTGCTTTCTGTGTTTTTAAGATCTTACTGGCCTCTAGTGGTAATATGATGCTATAGTTTAAATATTTTTAATTTTTGCGTGTGACTAGAAATAAAGCCATTTTGAAGACACTGGCTGATAATAGCTTCATTCTTTGTCTGGGGTCAGCAGTACTCTCAAAGTGTACGTACAACGTCGTCCTCCTGAAGACGAGAGGCTCTCTCTTTTGTTCTTGTCTCTGAGTCATCCCCACCTCTTTATTTTGAATGATGTTAGTTTAGCTGTGAAGCAACCTCCCATTGTTTTAGTACATGTACAGTGGTGATTACTGTGTCAGGTTTGTGCCAACAATTCTTTCTAGGGTTTCAGCCTTTTCTTCAGACTAAAGCACCAATTTTCCCCTCTGTTTATAATAGTTTATTTTCTTCAAAGGAGGTTAAGTTTTCAACTTAGCATTTAGGTTCATGTTTAAAACTATTTAATTCAATTTTGAAGAATTTTACATTTGAAATACTAGTCTACTAAGTAAGCATGATACTGATTTCTCCCTTTTGTTTTTCATATTTGTCACTCAGATGTCAAGGGGCCACCTACCCATCGTCTGTCTTGTGGCCAGTCACCCTACACAGAGACCACAACATGGGAGCGGAAGTATTGCATCCTCACAGACAGCCAGTTGGTGTTGCTCAACAAGGAGAAGGAGGTGAGGTGGATATTTCTGAGGAAAGCTACTTCTCTTTCTTTTTTTTTCTTTCTTTCTTTTTTTTTTTTTTAAGAGATTTTATTTATTTATTTGACAGAGAGAGAGAGACAGCGAGAGAGGGAACACAAGCAGGGGGAGCGGGAGAGGGAGAAGCAGGCTTCCCGTGGAGCAGGGAGCCCAATGTGGGGCTCAATCCCAGGACCCTGGGACCATGACCTGAGCCGAAGGCAGATGCTTAACGACTGAGCCACTCAAGCACCCCGCTACTTCTCTTTCTGACCAGATTCCTGAAAGCTAGTTTTTATTTGCATTTTGTTATGAGACATTTATAGAAATGGAGGCTGTATGAATGATAAATTATAAGTACAGGCATACCTCCTTCTATTGAACCTCACTTTATTGCACTTGGCAGATACCACATTTTAACAATTTGAGGGTTTGTGGCAAGCCTGTGCTGAACAAGTCTGTTGGCGCCATATCTCCAGTAGCATATGCTCATTTCGTCTCTGTGTCACATTTTGGTAATTATCACTTCAAGCTTTTCCATTATTATTGTATTTGTTATGGTGATCTATGATCAGTGATCTTTGATTGATGTTACTGTTGTAATCATTTTGAGGCACCATGAACCTTACCCATCTAAAACGGTGAACTTAATTGATAAATGTGTATGTTTTGACTGCTCCACCGACGGCTGCCCCCATCTCTCTCCCTCTTCTCTAGCCTGTCTGAGATTCCCTGAGACACAACAATATCGAAATAGGCCAGTTAATAACCCTACAATGGCCTCTAAGTGTTCCAAGTGAAAGGAGGACTCTCACATCTCTCACTCTAAATCAAAAGCTAGAAATGAGTAAGCTTAGTGAGGGAGGCATGTTGAATGCCAAGTGAGGCTGAAAGCTAGGCCTCTTGCACCAAACGAGCTTATGAATGCAAAAGAAAAGTTCTTGAAGGAAATTAAAAGTGCTACTCCAGTGAACACAGGAGTGATAAGAAAGTGGAACAGCCTTATTGCTGAGACAGAGCAAGTTTCAGTGGTCTGGATAGAGGATCAAACCAGCCACAACATTTCCTTCAGCCAGAGCCTATTCCAGAGCAAGGCCCTAACTCTCTTCAATTCTGTGAAGGCTGAGAGAGGTGAGGAAGCTGCAGAAGAAAACTGGAGGCCAGCACAGGTTGGTTCATGAGGCTTAAGGAAGGAAAGAAGCCACCTCCAGTACATGAAAGCTCAAGGTGAAGCAGCAGGTGCTGATGCAGAAGCTGCAGCAAGTTCTCCAGCAGATCTAGCTAAGATCATTCCTGAAGGTGGCTACCCGACACAACAGATTTTCAGGGTAGACGAACAGCCTTCTGTTGGATGAAGATGCCACCTAGCACTTTCAGAGCTAGAGAGGACAAGTCAGTCCTGGCTTCAGAGTTTCCAAGGACAGGCTGACTCTCTTGCAGGGGCTCATGCAGCTGGTGACTTGAAGTTGTAGCCAGTGCTCATTTCCCATTACGAAAACCCTAGGGCCCATAAGAATCATGCTAATTCTACTCTGCCTGTGCTCTAGAAATGAAACAACAAAGCCCAGATGACAGCACATCTGTTTACTACACGGTTTCCTGAAATATTTTAATCCCACTTTTGAGATCTCCTGCTCAGGAAAGAAGATTCCTTTCAAAGTATGACTGCTCACTAACAATGCACCTGGTCCCCCAAGAATCCTAATGGGGATGTATATCAAGATTCATGTTGTTTTAATTAACGCAGTGTCCATTCTGCAGCTCATGGAAGACAGAGTAATTTTGACCTTCAAGTCTTATTCTTTAAGAAATACATTTCATGGGTGGCTCAGTCAGTTCAGCGACTGACTCTTGATATTGGCTCAGGTTATAGTCTTAGGGTCGTGAGATCCAGCCTCAATGCCTAGCACAGAGCCTGCTTAAGATTCTTTCTCCTTTGGGCGCCTGGGTGGCTCAGTTGGTTAAGCGACTGCCTTCGGCTCGGGTCATGATCCTGGAGTCCCAGGATCGAGTGCCGCATTGGGCTCCCTGCTCGGCAGGGAGTCTGCTTCTCCCTCTGACCCTCCCCCCTCTCATGCTCTCTCTATCCCATTCTCTCTCAAATAAATAAATAAAATCTTAAAAAAAAAAGTTCTACTGTGGGTAAAATGCTATCAAACAGCATTGAATGCGACAGAGAAATTGAGAAAGGAAGAGTCCGTTGATGTGGCAAACTTCATTGTTGTCTTACTTTAAGAAATTGCCACAGCCACCCCATCCTTCAGCAACCCCCACCCTGATCAGTCAGCAGCCATCAACATCGAGGCAAGACCCTCCACCAGCAAAAAGATAATGACTCCCTGAAAGCTCAGATGATGGCTAGCATTATTTGGTAATGAAGTTTTTTAAAATTGAGGTATGTACATTGTTTTTTTAGACAATGTTATTGCACATTTAATAGACTACAGTAGAACGTAAACACAACTTTTATGTGCACTGGAAATCCAAAAAACCCATTAGACTCGCTTTGTTGTGGTGGTCTGGAACTGAACCTGAAATGTCTCTGAGGTATGCCTGTAAGTCTAACGGGTTGCTCGCATCATGATGATATCCAGTTGTCATGAAGGAGCGAGTTCAACAAGATAGGGTTGGATTTTCACTGAGGAACAGTGAAATAGATATTGAGTTGAGTATTTTGGAATGAGAACAGATTGGATTTGGTAGACCTGGCTCCAAAAATTGCTCGGAAGGGCTATGGGACGTGATGTCCGTGTAGCTACTGTAACAGATGGCACTCTCAGGGATTCACTGAGAGAGGTTTAATGAAGGGACTATTGACAGAGACATGGACAGCATAAGGGACCCACCAAAGAGTGTGAAGCACCATGAACTAGTAACAGCAGAAATCTTGTTATCAGCCTAGACTTTCAGGGCCAAGAAGGGAGCGGTGCTTCTGGAAACCAGAGGATGGGTTGCACGAGAGGGCTGCTTGGGCTTAGCATTACCCAGAAGAGCACGGCTTCTGCCCAAACAAAGATGGCCAGTAGGGAGGAAGCAAAGGAGAAGAAACCCTCCAGCTCTTTTCTTGCCTTCTGATTTCTTGCCAGTTGTTACCTACTAGCCAGACGTAACTTGAAGCCAGAGGAAAACAAGATTGCTCTTGCACCAAAGGGAGAGAAGGGCCGCGGGTACATCTGGAGAGGTTGGCAGAATGTAGTTAGCCCGGCATCGAGCTCTAGGTGAACTCTTTGTCCTTCTAAATGAAGAAAAACCCTTGAGCTTATCATATGCTATTTACTACTTTACTCAAACTGTGACAGTGTACAAGTCCTTCCACATCCAAATAACTCATCTGCTTATTGCTGATCTGTCAGAGAGTTGAGATCATTCTGATTTGGTAGGTCCATAACCCCGCTTTACCCCCTACCTCCACAGCATAAACAATATGTTCTTGACAAAGAAGAGGGATTAATGAGAGGGGAGGAGAAGAAAAGATCTGGCTCAACAAAGGACAAAGATTACTTGCCAAAAATAGAGGTAAATACCTAAAAAGCTGTAGGTAAAATACCAGTTTAGTAAGTCATCCTTCCTGGGAAGTGAGTTCAGGGGCAGCAGTGAACAGCAAATACGTTTCTCAGCTCTCGGCTGTGGCTCCCTATCTCCCTTTTCTCTTCTCCTCGTCTCTGTCCCTTTTCTTTTCTATCCCTTCTCTTACTCAGCAGTCTTTAATATAGTAAAGCCAAGGTAATAACAAGAAAAGAATTTTAGTTTCTTTATTTTAGTGCTTTTTTTTTTTTTTTTAAAGATTTTATTTATTTGACAGAGAGAGAGAGACAGCGAGAGAGGGAACACAAGCAGGGTGAGTGGGAGAGGGAGAAGCCAGCTTCCTGCTGAGCAGGGAGCCTGATGCGGGGCTTCATCCCAAGACCCTGGGATCATGACCCAAGCTGAAGGCAGACGCTTAACAACTGAGCCACCCAGGCGCCCCTCTTTTATTTTAATTCTTACTTCCGAGGGCCTAGCTCAGGTGCTCTTTATGATGCTTATTCTTTTTCTCCATCTGTTGAAAAATCTGCCTTGCTTTTGTTACCATCTCCCTACCCATGACCCTTTTCCAGTATTTTAATATTATTAAGTTTTATTTTATTAAAATAATGTAATAAAGGTCAGCCTTTTCTGGGATAGTCTAGTACATGTTGCTGTGTTTATATTAAGTTAAAACAATAAAAATTGGTGGAGTGAATATTAGTATAGAAGATTTCTAGTTATCCAGTTTGAATAAACAGATAATTGAAAATGTTCATTTTAACCAACCTGCTTTGTCAGCAGTCATTTATCAGAGCTATTAATAAGGAGTGTTATGAATAGATCATTTGCTATCTTTCTGCCCTTATCTACCTTTTATTCAATTTAGTACTGTAAGAAATTAAATAGTCAGGATAGAGAGCATAAGTCAAGAAACATGCCTTATCTAGAACCAAGATGAAATCCACTGATTAAAGATTACTGATCAATTGAGTATTCCAGGCCTGGGCCCCACCTTTGTCTCATAAAATAACTGTCCATGAGGAGTAACTTTCTGAAACAATATCTTGCATACTTTGTTTTTATGCCAGTCATCCTGAGTAGCCCTGGACAAATGGGGAACCCCTCATCTCCCACAGTCTGTATATGGCTCTGTAAATCCTCTTTTCTGTCCCTGCCTTCTGCTCATCTTTTACCACCTCTTAAAACCCTATCACTATACCCTCTGCAAGTCACAGTCCATCATCAGCAAACCCAGCTGTTTCTTCCAGCTGTTCGTTGTAGGCATCCCTTAACTTCTTGGTTTCAAGAGAACCTGTGTTTTCCCTGAGAACACCATCTTCTGTGAGGTCTGGTCAAGTGATGGCTGTTTTTCTCCCACAGCCCTCATACCACGCTGCCTGTAGTAGTTGTTCTTCCTCTTTCTGACTGCTTCCTGCCCTCCCTCATTTTCCCTAAAAAGTCCAAATCCTGCATCTCCTCTTATAGTC